TGGGAAAATGCCTGCCTTACCCTGCAGTCCACGCTGCGGGGCTCAGGTTTCAATTAGAGCAAAAGACTGGCCTCCTGGAAAAAGAGGGAACTCTCCAGTAGACTGATTGGGATTTCATCTGCATCTTCAGCTGCCCTGTGTCTCCAACCGGTCGGCCTACACTGCAGACTTTTGGACTCTTCAGCTCCATAATGACATCGAGCCAATTCCTCACAATAAATCTCATCTCCCTATGCATGTTCTTTGGTGCTGTTTCTTTGGAGAACTCTCATACACATAAAAACTGATGCACTTGCTGGTATGGGTTATCTTTTCACGGAACCAGCTCTTTCTTCATCCTTCTAAAGCTGCATCTTGGTTGGGGGCTGGGAGGGGTTTGAATTTTCTACCTTCAGAGCTGCTCTGTCTTCTCACCTAGAACCCTTTTCTAGGTTGGTGAGACTTAACCAGAAGAGTCTGTCCTTCTGCCTTAAAAATGTCAGAATTCCATCTGGAACCATCAGTTCTCTATTCCTGCCAGGTCCCTGTTGGTATCATGCTAGAGGCTCTTGTCACCTGCCTCTGGCTAAGGGCATGGATGGAGCACTCACCAGGGTGTCCTCTTTTGTTCTCAATTGCTACAAAAACCTATTCCGAAGAATTTTTAATAATGATTTATTTTTATTTATTTGTGCTTAGAAGAGCTGGGGTATAGGCCCGAGGTGCAGGTGGTGAGAGCATTCACCAGAGACAGAGTGGGGAGCAGAACAGGCAAACTGACTGAAATACACTACTGAGAGGAGCAGCAGGTGAGACAGGAGAGGTCTGCTGCACCTTGTGGGTAGCTCCCTGGCTGGGCATCGAACTCAGACCACAGAGGTGATAGTGCTGGGACTTAAGCCCTAGGCCACATGGGAGGCCCTGTTCTGAAGAATTTTATGACAACTTTCATTCCAACTATTTTCTTGTATTGGTGCTGCTACCACACAATTCCACTCTTGTCAACTCTCCCTGCTTTAGAAATGTCTGAACCCTCCCTGCAGAAGCTGAGGGGAAGAGACGATTGCAAAATTGGGCAGCTTTCACACGTGCTGACCCCAGCCTCTGCCTTCCCCAAATCTGGAGGTGCTCCCATGCCAGCACCCATAAATTCACAGTACTTTGCATCTTTAGAGCAGGGCTTTAGTCCCAATCTCCCTAAATTTGAATGTCTTGGAACATAGATTCTGGTTTTCTGTAGCGTTGCTCTTGGCCTTCCCTGAGTTACAGGACACACCTCTACAAAGGAGCCAAAACAAAAAAGACACTTCCTCTTCCCACGCTCCTGTTCTCTTGAGATTAGTAACATTTCTTCCAGTCCTTGCATCCTCTAGTGTCAGGCAACAGGCAACAGCAGTTTGACACATTAACAACATTGCAGCAAGACTCTGGGTTGTTCTGGCTTGAAGAAAGTCACAGCAGCAAATAGAGTCTCTCTGCTCTGGGCATGGACATCCACATACTGAGCCCTGGTTCCCTTGGCCACTGCCACACATGGCAGCCTCAGTCTCCAAGGGAATGACACAGGGAAGCATGGGCTCTGTCAAATGCAGTCCATTAAATGGTGCAATGACTATGGGAAAGACAGTCTGCCAGTTCTTCAAAAAAAAAAAAGCACCGAATTACTGTGCGATTCAACAATTCCAGGTTCATATCCAAAAACCTGAAAGCTGGGACTCCAACATATGCATACCCATGTTCACAGCAGCATTGTTCACAATGTCAAAAGGTGGAAACATGACCAAATACTCACTGATGGATGTATGGATAAACAAAGTGGTATGGGCTGAAAATGCAATACTTCACAGCCTTATTGAAAAAAAAAAAAACAACCACAAAAGGATATTCTGATACAGGCTACAACCTGGATAAACCTTGAAAACAGCCAAGTGAGCAAACCAGACACAAAAGGGCAAGTACTGTATGGTTGTATTTATGTGATCTCCACAGTCATAGAGACAGAAAGTGGAATCGTGGTTACGAAGGGTTGAGGAGGAGGAGGATGTGGGGAGTTGTGTAATTGGAGTTTCAGTTTGCGTTAATGAAAGGCTAGTGGTGATGGTTGCACAACACGGAATGTACTTTATGCCGCTGAACTGTACACTTAAAAAGGGCTAGAATGGTAAATTTTATGTTAAACGTCTTTTGCGACATCCCAAAATTAAAAGGAAGTGTGGTGTCTGACTCTCGCTATCTGGGTCCACCACTGCCTTTTAATATTTGCTACTAGTCACAATTCCCTCTGCCTGACCTTTAAGCCTGCATAATAAAGTAATTAAAGAATTAGTGATGACACCATGTGTCATCTGCAGTGTGGTAACAGAAAGCAGGGGCCCCGCCCCCTAAGGGCTGCCATTAGAATGCAACGCCCCCTCGAGCACTTCACTGGCTTCTTTCTGCTCTTGGGTAAAAGATGAAGCTCCTTAGTAAGCTCTGCCAAGGCCTCCAGTCCATCTTGGGGCATGCTCAGCCTGTTCTCTGCTCTGCCCAAGGGAGCTCGCCCCACTTTCCAACTGCCCAGGTTATTTCTTGCTTGGAACAGTTTCTCCTCCTGGCTCCACTTGGTTAGCATTTCATCCTTCAGCAATCAGGTCAGTTGTTACTTCCACAGGAAACATTTGCTCACCTCACATCAGGTTTAATTCCTTTATTACATGTTCTTTAACACCATATTCTGTATATTGTTTTTATATTTACTTGCTTGTATGATCATTTGATTAGTCAACTGCCTCTCCCACTAAATGATAAGCTCAAGGAAAACTGGGACTTTCTATATTTTGAAACCACTGATTCCTGAGACACAGAGGATTTGGCCATGTGTAAATCCCTATACTACTTGTGAATGAATAAGTAAAGAGATAACTAATAATACCTAATAAAGTCAAAGGGTTTATGTCAGCAATGCTGTCACCTGCCCACCTAGCACCATACTCCACCTATGAAGAACAAATAAAGAAAACTAGGATTATTCTACAGCAAGGAATGTAATACATTTTAGATTGACAGTAAAAGGAAAGCTATTCAAGGTAGGAGTTTATTTTTACCATACTGCATATTCTGTGCTGAGTTTTAAAAAATCTAAAAGCACAATTTGAAATCAGAATGACACTTCTTTTAATTTTCTCACATGGGTAGTCATTGATCTGCATTCATATTTAAGAGGAAATGCCATTGAATTCAGGAGAAATCTATTTAACCTGCATGGTATTCAAAAATTGCTGGAAAAGCTTAGCTTTTGTACACTGTGCCAATGACCTTACTAAGCAGGTATGTTAAACACTTAAATGTCTAATTTTCTACAGGCGCTTTTGGTAAAAACATTCTTTCTTCCTTTTCACGTCTTCCAGCAAACCTCATTATCCTTCTTATGACCCTGTAGGCACCTCATTTTCTTTTGGCTTGTTTGCAAATTTTAAAATATTAACTGCATCTCCTGCTTCAGGAAGGGTTGCTTGGCTACTACTCTTCATTTTTGGAGTCTGAATTCTTTTACTTCAGCATCGCTACCTTGAATAATGGAGTTTAATGCACTTTCAAAGCAGCCAGACACAATTAAAAATCTCTTATCTTTATTAAGTACAGCAATAGTTACTCTCATCTAGAAGACCAAAGGGAATATACATAGGAGAATATGTATTAATTTTGAATAACATGGAAACGAATTTAAAAGAAGGTCATAAAGTAGCAGTCACCATGGACTTGAGGGAAAGGAGCTGTCAGAATAGACTACAGCTTTTAAAGAAGGGAGGAGGAAAGGAGAGTAAAACAAGAGCAGGGATACCCAAGGGGTAGCCTATCAGCTGTTTGTCATCTTTTAAAATCATCTAGAAAACTATATAATGGTGAAAATTTTGTAGCTTATACTGAAGCTTATGAGATAGTAAAATGCTGAATAATAATGACTTCAAGAAAATTTATTCAGTGACTTAAAAAAAATTCTCTAGTAAGTTCCAGGCATTGTTGCTTGCTGCTGGGTAGAAGGCATAACACGGCATCAAACAACACCCCTCCTCCTGGGGACTTTGAACTATTGTGTAAAGGAACACAGAAAAGCACTTGTCTGGCTTCCCTGGACTTGGGTTGCAGGACATTTACAGGGACCACAACAGGATTTTCCAGAGCCTTTAATATGTTAATATGTACCAGGAATCAGATCTGAGAATGTGGTACATTGTGTGGTGGTTCTCAAAGATACCATTTTTGTTTTGCGTTATGTTTTGCAGTTGTGTTTCTATTTTTTTGGAGGAACAACTTGTGAGCTTGTGAGGTTAGTATAGACTGAAATGCACTCTGGAAAATTCTGACATTGAAAAATAGAAACATGTCTGGAATTGAAAGACTTTTGAAAGTCTTTTCATCAAATATTTACTAAGTACTTAAATCACTGAGAAACGGTATCAGCCTCCATACCAGGTTGATCTAAAATCCAGTGCCCCTTCATAACAGCAATGTTCCCAAACAGTCCAAAACTTGGAATAGTCCAAATGTCCATCAGCTTATGAAAGGTCAACATGTGGTATTATCCATATAATGGATATTATTATTTAGCCATACATAGGAATGAAGTACTGATACATGCTATAATGTGGATGAACCTTGAAAACATTCTATCAGGTGAAAGAAAACAGACACACAAGGCCACAGATCATATGATCCCATTTATATGAGATGTCCAGAATAGTAAATCCTCAGAGACAGGAAGCAGATTCGTGATTTCCAGGAACTAGGGAAAGAGGAGAATGAGAAGAGACTGCTACTGAGTATGGGGTTTCTTTTAGGGATGCGAGAATGACCTCGGATTATATAGTGATTAATGGTTGTATAACCTGGTGACTATACTAAAAACCACTGAATTAATTATTTTTAAAGGGTGATTTTTATAGCATGTGAATTTTATTTCATCTAAAAACTCCAGGATCTCATCATACTAAGATCTCACCATATTCTTCTCACATTATAGGAACTGAGAACAGCACAACCAGTTCTTGTCAACAATTATATTTAATGAAGATACTAGCTGGTATTTACAGGAGATATACATACATACAATCCCTATGCATTAAATGTAGACTAATTTCCTAAGAGGAAAAAATGTACTCAAAAATTACATACTAAATAAATAAAAAGTAATTATTTGGCACAACATCTATTATGTAGCAAATAAATAACTATAACATTGATTGAATGAACTATTTACAATCTATTTGAAAGTGCAAAACAATTGCTGAAAATTAAGGTATTTGTAATAACATTTAACTCCAGAAAATATGTGTATTTTAATTAGTAATAATAATTAGCCAATAGTAAAGGTTTTTAATGCCCAGGAAAATATTTTAATTTTGAAAAATGTTTTGTGCATATTGTGCTCTTCTGAAATGTTATTTATTTTTATTTTTACGCTGGCAATTTTAAGAACCTTGGAGTTTCTTAGTGAAATTCTTAAGTACGTAATCCTGATTTGTAAGTTTAAAAAAGTTACATGTAAACATAAATATTATTCTATATGCCATCCAGAAATTACAGACCAGTCCTCCCTAAATTACACAATTAGCCATAATGTTGTATAGTAATGTGGACAGGTTCAATTTCTTCAGAGGTAAGACTATGAAGAAGGACAAATACAGCCTATAATTTGGACTTACGTGGATCCTGCAAACCTTCCAGTAATCCCATGCTCTAAATCAAGATGTTGAGTTAGAAACTAGGAAACAATATCACCTCTGACGTAGTCAAACAAATCCCATTCATAGCTCATGTCATCTTGTAAACACTCCTAGAAAAATGTCAGGGGCTTGATAATTCTCTTGACAATGGTATATTTCTACCACACTCTTCATGTGGGCCTTATTTTAGGTTTCAGCAAAGAAGATGGCACAAATGGAAATGAAATGGGGTGACTACGAAGTGGGCATTCCTAAGCTAGAGTGTGCAAGCTCTATGCAAGTCCAATAATGTCTTCTCTCATCGTGACGCTGGTAAGCTGAATGCAGTCCTGAGGTGTCTCAGGCTGTGTTTTTTGCTTGTTTTGTAGAATTCTCTAGTGACAATACAGTCAAGTGGTAACATAAATGGCATTTTTGAAAGATTGTGGACTGGAGACAAACCACTGTTCTGGGCACTTTAAATGTCTACGGTCGGCGAGGCTCTAATCTGTGTGACATCTGTGATAAAGTTCTCTGGTTGTCAATCACATTTAATTGCCGTACATAACTCCGGACATCCTGATGGTTCTTATTAGCTTGAGCTGCGTCGGGATCTGTTAAAAGAGAAAAGAACAGACCAGGCGTTGTGTGATACATGCATATGAGATTCAGCTTTATTTTCTCCAACTACTTAATATATTTTGCATGGATTCCTAGGTTCCATCAAGACCGTTCAACACACCACAGTCATTGAAATGTTTCCACTTGGTTGCTCCCTCTCCTTCCCTCAAATCACCTATTTTGGTCATTGTCCTTTGTGTTGCATTTCTTAATTTTATGTGTATATATGGAGAAAGAGAAAACGAGAACCAAGTAAAAGTGAAACCATTGCCTGGTTACACTTTAAAACTGTTTTCCGTACCACCCCATCTGGGTTTCACACTCCGAACTCTGCCCCCTTTCACTCAAATGAGGGCTAATGGCAAAAGACATGATTTTCATTAGCCCCTAACCAAAGCATTTAATACCTGGGCTGAACTGAATCAAATCAGTGAGACTAGTAAGTCTGAGCCCTCTTGTTTCTTGCATACAACGCACAGCATTCACGCACAGACTGTGTTCTTAGAGACTGCACCTACTTGGAAGAAAACCAACTTGTCATGACTTCTGCTAGACTTTTTTTTTTAAGATTTATTTATTTATTTATTTATTTATATAAGCACTGGGTACAGTCAGAAGCGCAGGAGGGTGAGAGAATTCACCAGAGCCAGAGCGGGGAGCAGAGCGGGCGGCAGGAGAGCAGCTGGGGATCGAACCAGCACTACAGAGGCTGTGGGCAGCTTCACAACCCAGCGCTCAACTGCTGCGCCACCGAGGAGGCCCCTGCTAGACTTTTGATTCTCTAGTGCTATCTGTTCTGAAATCTCAGTTGCCATTTTATTCTGATCCACTCCCTCAAGCCTGAGAGCAATGGAGCTATCTGGAATTAAATGGCTTCCCTAAAACCAGGCTGAAATAAGAGTCACAAGACCATAGCAGGGATTAAAGATGACTAAGGAGGACAGTGGTGAGCTGGAAAAGCAGGTCCCATTGGAAGTGACGGTTCAGCCCCTGCATGTTGCTACCACGTGGGAATTTGCTGCAGAGGTTACCAGATTTTCCTATTTTCCAGAATCGAGAAATCTAGATCTCTTTCCAGGGAATTCTCCCCATTTAAAAATGGTGAATTATTTCAAAGTAAAAGGGAAAAGAATGCCCTTTTTAGAACCAACATTTCTATGTGGGCAACCTCTGTCTCATGGATTTTTGGTGTGGGGCTCTGGCCTAGCAGAGGAAGGGAGTGGCCAAGCCAGACCAGCGTTCTTCCTGCCACAGCACATTGCTTTCTGCAGTCCATTTGCTCTTCTAAAAGCCGCGCACCATCCCAAAGACAATTATAATGCCATCTGCATAAGGGGTGGAGAAGAACATTGCAGGTCTGAACATAGAAAAGAAGAAGGAAGATACAAAGGCCCCTGCTTGCTCTAAGAAGAAACTCATCAGTATAATTATCACATATAAATAATACCACAGTGTTTAATTTCCTTGCTTCTTACTGGCAGTGTACTCTACATGTACAATATACTGTAATTACATTGTACATATTCCCACAATGTTTATGAATCTATTCCTATAGCTTTATCTATAGATTGTTGACTTCAGAGCTGAGCAGCTGTTGTTTACCAGCAGTTACTGATAACTTCAACAAATGCAATGGAATTTTAAAAAAATATATTAATGCTGCCCCCACTTCCTCTCTAGAAGAAGATGTCAAAGAATGTAGGATTTACTTTCAAAGAGGTTCATAGAGCAGAACATATCCTAGTATGGTTCTTTGGTTCTTGGACATCACTGAGAACCTTCTTAAGGCTATGAGCCTCTCAGGTACACAAAATACTGCATAGAATTTCAGGAATTTCCTGAAGGGCCATAGATTCAAGATCCCAGCTATAGACTGGAATCACTTACATATTCTCATATTCACTGCTTTATGATCATATCTTTATATACATACTAAATTACTAGGTGAAAAGACATGGGACAATTTAATTCTAGCAGAACCCACATAGGAATAGTTGATGTGCAAGGCTATTCTCACTTTAGAAGGAAGAGGAAGCACAATCATTTGAATCAATTTTTTAAAGGTCTACTTGCTCCCAAAGCCAAGATTACTTTTCCTAGATATTTCCCCCTGTACATTAAAAAAATGAACATTTAGCAGTTCTGGCATCTGATGTTAGCAAATCTTTGCTTTGGGCCAGTCCTGTGCCAGGAAGGACAAACATAGCTCTGATTAATAAAATGAGAACCTCTTAGTCTCTTATCCTTGAGTTTATTGGAGGGGAAGCTACTGGTAGCCTGACAGTCATATTCCTGTCAAATTATCATGTTGACTTAATGAGCCAAATGTCTGCAAGTGACTCATACAACGAAGTTTGCAAAAAACTTCACAGGGGCCACCCCCTCACTCTCAGCCCAGCCTGAGGAAGCCAGAGCTCCATCCCCTGGTCTAAGTCCCAGCCCAGAAGAGAAACAGCACAGGTCTGGCATGAGGATCTGGTGCTATGATGCAACTCAACTCTCGACATAATAAAAATGGCTATTTATTAGTAGTAATAATTTTATACTGAAGCACTGTATTATGCCAGCTATTGCGCTATATGTTCAGGTTTTAAAAGAACACTAAATTCACCGCGGATTACTAGAAATATAATATGAATTCCAGTTATGAGCCCTTTTACAAATGTGCTATACACTTAATTTAATGTATTCTCATTATACCCCAAAAGAGAATAAATACTATCTCTCCCAGTTTACAAACGACAGATGAGTAATCAAGAGTTGATGTGCATTTCTCAAGATCAAGCAGTGACTCATAAATAAAGTCGGTTTGAGGCAGAATTTGTTGGCAATTATTCCTTAGTTGTCTCTAGCCACACTGCAAAAAGCAAATTAATTCTCTTTAAATTCATTCACAGAACAATATTCCTATGGCTATTTTCTAGTTTTATAACCAAGGAAATATTTTCTTCGTTTACAACAACAAAGAAGTCTTTAAACTGATGGCTTCCATGCCATGGAATTCATGGGGCAAAGTGTCTCAGAATCAATCAAATGTTGTACAGATTCCCAAAGTGTCACCGTAGGCTCATTAAAAAGGACTTAATCATCAAGATACACATTGCAGCATGCAGTGACATTTAACTTACTGAAGGGCTGGCTCCTGCAGTATCTCACTGTTCGGGCAGTATTTGCAATCATGCGCTAAAAAGAATAAAGAAAAAAGAAAGACTGATATGCAAGTGAGCTTAGTGTATAATCCAAAAAAGGAAAACAAACCATGATTTATTTGGCAATACCGGTACCAAGAAAAATAGCTCATTGTGAGATGTTGATATCTGGAGGCAACAGCTGATCTATAACTGCTCGATTACTTGAAAGAGGCACCCACACTCACATACAGAGGGCAAATTCTCAGGAATACTCACAGCATAACTCTAGCCTTACTGTTTACTTGTTCCTCAGGACATAAAAAGCAATTCATTCTTCCTGAGACTACCTTACTACTTGGGATGAGTTTTTACCATTCTTTTTTGTGGCCACTGAATTTATAAGAGAATTTGGAACCAGCCTAGATTTGGAGAAGGCCTAGCTTGTCAAGTTCCTCACCATAGTAAATAGAATTTGGTGATGAGGTATCGATTATCTTGATTTAACAGTCTTAGCGAAACTATTCTACCTGTGCTTTTCCATACACACTTCACACAAAACCCAACTTTCTAATTTCCCAGGAAACGTGCATGTTTTAATGTTCATCTTAATTATTTGATTTTCTACTCTCGCTCTCTCCTTCGCTTCATTCTCCCTCCCTCCCATCCTTCCCCCTTTTCAGTTCTTCCTTTTTTATTATAACAGTAACATAAGCACATTTTTGAAGATGAGAAAATATAGAAAAGGTTAAGAATAAAGTAAAAATCACTTAGAGCACTACTTCACACAGTAACTTCACTAATATTTTGGTAGATTTCCTGCTAATATTTAAAAAATAAATATATAAAGGCATATTTTTAGTTCAGGTTTTCCCTTTTAAAAACTTTTATTTTTAAATTTGTTCTGGAGTAACATCAGTTTGAAATGCACATTTTTTTTTAAATTGAGGTCATACTTTGCATACATATTTTATTTTAATTTGAATTGTTTCACACTGCATCATGGCCATTTTCCATGTCATTCACATTTAAAAATATTTGAAAATGAGTATGTATTCAATCATATCGATGAATGATAATTTATCCTTTGTTAATTTCATCTGTAAGTGATCTTCTGAATTTCCAGCTTTGGTTGCCATAACGAATCAGAAGGGATTCTTTGGTAGCGAACTCAATTTAGTGAGAAACAAAAGAGGAGAATCTCAAGAACAGGAACTTGAGGAGAAACATCATAGAGACCTAAGCCCATTGCTCAGCAGGGCACACGTTTCTTGCTCCTGGTAGCTGGGGCAGCTGGGGCCCCAGGATCTACCATCTCAGGGCATCTGTGCTGTTCACACTCCAAAAGGGGACGCACAGAGATGGTGGGTTAATTCTAACACTCCGGTCAGGAAAAGAGACTCTCCAATCTGAGTTGCTGGTAATTTCAGACCCTGCTTTCTTCTCTCTTCTCCTGCCTTGTCAACGCATAGACAAGGACCCAGAGAAAGCTGTATAGCATTGAAAAAACCCAACTTACTTGGCAGGAAAAATTCATAGAAGAGTCAAAGCTTTACAAATACACACATGTGAATACTCACAATACCTCACTGAACGTTACTACTCTGAGGATTCTGGCAAGCATTAAGGGACATGTGTCTGCATGGGAAATGTCTCGCACACAAAGAGGCAGTCGAAAAAGTTTGAACTTCACTTTCATAAAGGATCCTAAAAATCTGGTATGTCTGTTGATCAGCATGAGAAATATATTACAAACACCTCCAAGAAAATGTAACATACAATGTATAATTAGCCTCTGATATATGGAGCCCTGAAATAAACAGTAACTATGATAATTTTCCTGCTAATTTACTTTAAGTTGTTTTTTCACTTCTCTAAAGGCTTTGCATCTGAAGGGCACAAGTATATTCCATGTAGAATTATTGTAATTCTTCAGATATTGAATGGAGTGTAATTACTGAAAACCCTGGGAAATGCTGCCAGTGCGCCCCTCTGAAGAATAATAAAACAATTAGCAGGGGTCAGAAACCTCTTCCTATACCATTTTGTAGGGAGTAATTGTTCTGCTTTTTAGTTTTGAAAGCTAAAACATTTCATTCTGACTTCAGTTTAAGACTAGTCTTTACAGCTATACTCTGAGGCTTCATAATTTTTAGCTCATTATGTAGTTTAAAATGTGAGAACAATTGTTTAAATCAGTAATTTCCAGCTCTGGAGTTCATTCTACCTTTCTAAATCTTTGATTAATTTTAACAATGGTTTTAATTTTGACGTATCCTTTTTAATTATACTCAAAGATAACTTCAGTTTAACTTTGAAATCCAGATCTGGCTTTGCAATGAGGTCCATTCACTTCCTTTTTGAGGTCTGCACAATAATGTGGTAATACACACACCCTGAGTAACAGCACATGAGCCCCACTGGCTTTGCTGGGCGATGTGTAGTTACAGAATGCTTTCCTGAGACCAAAGCAGGGGTAACTTGCGATTTTAACTCCACCCTCTTTTGTGCCCATCAACACAGCAATATTTAATATGCTACTAACAACTATATTCAACTAGAAGACACTTTCCTGGGTGCTGAGACTTCAGAAGTCTCAGTCACCTTCAAGTGTCTGCAGGGTGCACGCTGCCTTGGACAGCCTGCCTAGGAATGGTGGCTCCCCACTGTTTGAATGCATCCAGCAATGAGTCTCTCGTTTCCTCCAGAGACAGCCTATCTTTCAATATTTCTAACTATTAGCATTTTGAGTCAAAGTCTTTTCCCCTTTGTTTTTCTCCCCACTTCCAGGTCTTTTCTTATAGTCCCAATATACCCAATTTCTTCAACAGATTTTCATACCACAATCTTGGGTATCTTCTGTCCGGTCTCTAGTGTTGACCCCTAGACCATGTGAATCATTCAGGGCATGGAGGAATTATTATTCCTCCATATTGCTTGATTTAGATGATGCTACACATCTAACTCCACAATTTTGAAAAAGTTATATTACTGACTCTGATGAGCTAATAGTGAATTAAACCTCTCAGCCTATTTCATTGGGCTGCCATTTTTTTTTTTTTTTTTGAGCTGCCATTTGGTCTCAGCTTCCTTCTCTGTAGATGTGCAGTTGCTTTCTTGTACCAAAGTGGAGGCTTTTGCATTTATCTCTACATAAAGCCATGTAGTTAGAGGCTATCTATTCCACCACAAACTTAAGCCTCACATGTTATTTTTGATGGCAGATGGCAGTTTATTCATTAATGTTCTCAGTAAATATTGGCAGAAACTAAGGTTAAAGAGACATAGGCTTTATTATCCAACTGCCACAGCAAGAAGGAAGGCAAAAATTATGCCCTAGGCCTGGCAGTCCTGCTGGAGCAGGTTGGCCTGCCTGGAGCAGGCCAGGCAACTTTCCTATAATGCCAGCCCAGTGGGAAAAAACCTGATTACTCTGAAGCAGAGCTTGTTTTTTTTTCATCCCAGCAAACCTGAGGTTTATGACACTCCCACTAGCAACTGGCTTATTAAGTCAGTGATTTATAATTCAGGGGCAAATTTAGGAGAACATGCTCCTTCAGCAGGCGCTCTGAGGCAGCAAAGGTAGGCAGCGTGACCCCTCACCACCTGAGCTGACTCTGAAAGACTTCCAGCCCCTGAGGATCACCACCTGAGCGCCTGCTCCTCAAACTCTGCCCTCAAGAATTCTAACCAAGAGAACAGCTCACAGTTAGAATGCCAGGGTTTCCTTTGGAATTGACACTTCAAATTTCACTCAGTCACCATTTCTCTCAGGACAATTCTCAGTATAGGTCTTCAGAGGGTCATTGCAAATAATAGTATTTTCATACAGTTCCTCACCTCAAAGGATGGGAGATGGAGCCAACCAAAAGTTGACATAGTTCCCTCAGGACACGAACTCAGAGGTGGCTCAGAAAAAGAAAGATTGAGAAAGCTGAGAAAGCTGAGCTGTTTATTTCTCCTTTTAATTGAAAAGAGAGAGACTCAGAAGCCGATATGAGTCCCAGGACTTGAGCTGTAGAGTGACCAGCACAAAGACACAGTCCAGAGGAAGTGACCACCAGCAGTCCTCACACCAGCACTGATGATAGGACCTGAGGTGACAGCCCCTAACAAATTTATTTTAAGCTCTGTAGCAAGGAATTCCCCTTGAATTCAATGTCAGAGTGGCCTCTCCTCAGAGAAGCCCCTGGGGCCTGGGCCTTGCCCGGTTACCTCTCTGTGCACCCTCCCCTCAGGAGTCAACTGGCCAAGTTATCTCCTTTCCTATCTAGATGCAGGGATCACCTACAGCTCTTTCTACAAGTGTCCAGCTTGTCTGGCCTGCTCTGTCCTGACTCGTGCCTTTTGTTCTAATCTCTCCTGATGCCAAAGAGGGGCAGGTCTATTTCAGAACAGCAGGTACTCCAGGCAATGCCCCCTTGCACTGTTGGATATTCACAATCTTCTTCTCACAGACAGCTGCCCAACGGCCTCTGCCTTCCGAGGCTGTGCTGGCTCTGCCCTCCGAGGCTGTGCTGGCTCTGCCCTGGGGCCCCTGAGGAGCTGCTCCTGTGTTTTAGTCCTCTCCTGCCTGCCCTGGCATCTCTGCCTTTCCTGCTCCTGCCCCTTGAGAACTTCGCCATCCTTGCTCTTAATGTTTGTCAGATTTCTGTACTTCTGCCCCTTAACTGCCTTCATCTTACATGCCTATCAAGTACAGGCTCTCAGTCCTTGCTTAGAAGTATAAAACCACATTTCTATCATCTGATTATTTCGTTTAGACTCTCAGATATTAGGAAAAGATTTTTTCCCCCACAATAAGGTCTAACATTATATAGCCACTCACCTACAAAGATTGTGCCCATGATAGCAACCAAGTGGAATTAAGTACATGGTAAGAAGGAGAGATAAAAGATAAAAAGTCCCAGGAGCTGAGTTAGCCTTCTCTGTATGCATTATTGGGGAAGAGCCCTAAGTCTTGTCTTTTGGTTCTAGTTCTTCAATACTCAAGAAGTGTGTGACATACAGGCACATACATGTAACCGACATGATGTTCATGGTGTGTCACACATTTGATGGCCATGACCATTCAAGTATGTGTCCAGGTACATGCAAGTATGTGTCTGCATTCAAGGAAGGACAGACTCAGCTGGCAACCAGGGAGGAGGGGAAACAGAGTAATGACCAATTGGAATCAAAGACTAAGGGTGTCATCTTGCATAAAGTATCAGGAATACAAGTGCCCCAATGCTTGAAACAATGAGTGCAATCAAATTTAATAATAAAATTGGAAGCACATTTGGATTAAATCTTTGTTACACAAAATCCTTTAAAACTGCATTAGTGTACTGTCCTCTCTTACTAGGCCCAATAGTGGAATATGATTGGGTTTTTCTTTTATTCAAAAATACTTATTACTTACTCTGTGCCAGACATTTCTGTGGGCACTGGTGAAACATCAATGGGCAAAGTAGATGAGATACCTGGACTAGAACATTTGCATTCTAGTGGAGAAGACAGACAATGAAGAGGTAAGTGGAGAAGATCATTTCAGATGGAAAAAGCTGCTATCAAGTCAAGTTTATCTGAGAGTGCTTGGTCTGAAGGATAGAAGGACACTTGAGGGATGGTCAGGGAACACCACTCAGAGGAGTGGGCATATGAGCTGAGACCAGAATGAGGAGAAGGAGCTAGACATGTAAACATTAGGGGAAAGACAATTTCAGGCAAAGGTAACAGCTAATGCAAAGGCCCTGAGGCAGAAAGGAAATGAAAGGAATACAGGCTCAGCAACTCAGACTGGGAACAGAGATAACGTGTGAGGCAAGACTGGACAGATGCTCAGGGTACCAAGTCTGGATTTGCTTATACTATGCTGTTGTATTTATTATGGTTTTGTTCTCCTCTGACCCAACTGCATGAAATTAACTCTCTGCATTTTACTTTCTGACCTCTCTATTGTGAGCTAGTTTTTAGTTCTTTTGTTGATATTTAACATTTAGTGTGTTTATGGTTTATCTTCTCAACTGCATACACTAAAGGTCAAGAAATATTTTTTGATTTCTATTTCCCAGTAAAACTCCTTGCTTTTACAGTCTACACATTCTGTATTGCTGTAAAATTTACTTTAGAAAATCTGCATTTAACTCAGTTTATAAATTCTAGATGAAGGAGTAAACTTTCAAAATGCTCTTGCAGACTTCTGTTGAGTTGGAAAGGGCTGGAAATTGGGTGGATTTGAACAATTAGATTTGTACTCAGAAATCACTTTTTCCCCATAGCTTGAGTTAACAAATCTAGTGCTCTCTCCATGAGTCTTGTAATAATATTGTTGGTGATAGAAGACATATTGTTGCTAATTATGTAATGACATGACTAGTGATAAAAAATAAAGGGATTGAAAACATTTCTCTTGCTTAATAAATTAGCTTCTGTTAATGTTTCCAGAATTATAGAAGCTTGCCCCATGCTTCTCATTCCAAATAAAAAGACTATCTTAAAAAGAATATTCATAAATAAACACACCTATATATGGTTATGTCTGAAATAGAACCAACCTCCTAATACAGTAGCAACTGTGCACTGGGTACTTTATGCAGCCTGGGATAGTGGCAGTGGGCCAGCATATTATCCTCTAATCCATTGCTAGTCTACCTCCTAAATGTTATAAATATTCATGTATGCCATAGAAAGCTACAAAGGGCTTTATTCAAACATTTTTTTGAATACTCCTTTATGCTCCCCCCAAATGAAAGAATGTCTGCTTTTTTTTTAATTTTGCATAAGGCTCAGAGTGTGAATTCTCTTTTGTCCATACTCATAAATCCTGAAAACCAATATGCAATGAATTCTCTAATCCTCATTTCATACCTCAAGGGTGAAGAGTTTCAAAATAAAAGTACTTAGGGTTGGCACAGTGGTTTGCTGTGACTATGTAATGCTGACACCAAGAGAAGGCATCTGTGCTCCTGGCTACCCTGGTGAATTCTGCCCTTGGCAGGAGCTCCCTCTGGGGAAACAACCTACTAGCCCCAGAAAAGCTGCCAGCTCTGCTCACTACCTTAGCCTTGCTGATGAGTGATAGGAAGTAGCACTGACATGAACCTGAGAGGAAGATGTATCTTTGCCCCATGAAACACAGCAAGACAGCAGCTGCGAGTGGGAGTTGTAAGTGAGAGCAGTGGCCGCATCGGGCAAGCTAGTGTAAGGGGAGAAAAGTATGGGGATTTGGCAGCTAGTGCCAGGTTAGTCAAAACCAGTTTTAGAAATCAAAAGCATAACTTTTTTGAACGTCTCTTTCTTTTCCCTTTAACATCTAACTCATGGAAGGACATCTGTAAACTATAGTCTATCATGATATGACTTATCAAATGAAACAAAAGCGTGGTTACTGGAGCAGAGTTGACAGTACTCCTGCAGCTCTACCATGCTCTTCTTTTTCATAGTCATAGAACCACTAACTTTCATGGGCCACATGAATACCTCAAATAAGGGTTGCCTATCTTAACTTTCCTTTCATGTGACTAAGTATCAGTCCAGTGGTGAGTGCAACTCCAGGGCACAGTCTTAACAGGAAAAAGGATGTCTTCATTTTTTTCCATCCTAGTTCCCTCTGGAAGGAAGAAAGGCTGGAATGGGGACATGGTGGCTCGCCATCTTAGACCATGTGGATGGTGATGTGGCAAGAGAGGGGAAGCCTGGAAGTTTGGCCACTTCCTGGAGTGGAGCTACCAACTCACATGGATTTTTAAAATAATAAAGAAAGAAAGAAATTTATCTTGCTTAAGTCATTTTTCATTTAGGTTTCTATTATTGCATCTGACCTACTATCTTAACCATTCAGTTGCTTTTAAGCAAAAGTGAACTCTTTCTGAGAGCAAGGTGCAAGGACCTCCCTCCTCACTGCTAAGCATATAAGAATCTAAACCTACAGGACAGAAACTGGAAAAGGGGGACTCTGAAAATCCACTGAATATGATCTTGACTTTTCCTTTGCAGACACCAACATCTAGAAACCCAGGTGAAACAACTTTCATCCTCCTTGACCTATATTTCTGCTGTTCTTGCTTGCTTTGTTTAGTTAATTTAATGATCAAAAATTCTAAAACTGGGTCAACTCTTTAGGAAACCTCAAGTTTAATACCTCTATGCACGTGTATATTTTATAGCCACGTGGTTGACTTAGCCACCCCTCCATCTGTATTTCTGCATGAGTAATCGAGAAGGTTTTTTTTTAAATCTATTTGCTAAGTCTTTCATATCTGAAAATCAGGCTTTTTTTTGGAAAGTCAGCAAAATATGTTTAATTCTCCATACTAATATGTGAGCAAAGTATTTTTTCTACTTTGATCAATGAATTATTAAACTGAGACAATAATAATGATGCCCATACCCTGTGGAGGGTAAGATTGCTGAGAAAGTATTTGACCTCTGGTCCAGAGTGTCTTTAAGTAGACTCATGTGCTGTTTCTTTAGAAGCTTAAGACATGTGAACCTAGTGCTCAGCAATCGCTGTACCTACTTACCAGCCTTTGCTTTGCATAAGCTCATTCCCAAAGTGAGTGGTGTGGTCCTTATACAATTACTCGGGGTAATTCAGATTCTCCTAGAATCACCCATACTAGCTTGATTTCAAGACAAAATTAGAACAGTTTTCTGATAAGAATTCATGGCTTACAGGAAAATTTCTATATTATACCAACAATCCCCAAAAGTGGATGGAGCAGGCCTTAACTGCTTTTGCTATTGAGGAAACTGACTCAGAGAGAAGTGAAAGGACAGCTACAACATGAGAGCTGAACCTCAAGTCTCCTGGACCCTAAGTCCCAAGCTTGTCTTAGAGTGCCACCTAAGATGCTCATCCACCCAGAGACAACTCTGTGACACCCCATCCATCTGGCCAAAGCCAGAGAGTTTAGAAGACAATGGAGCATTCCACTAACATGCACTATGTAGCTAAAGAAAGGTTTTGGCATGACCTGCTTTATTGCTTCATAGATGATAAGAAAATAAAGTGCAAAGTAATGTCAATATCAGCTTTTTGTGGGGAGGGAGGGAGTTCTGGAAAATACTGTGTGCCAGCTCCACATCTGTTGTTAAAAAAACTTTTTTTGTTGTTATGAAGATTTTCAAGTTCCCTCTGTGAACTTGGATGAACTTTATTGGAATAAACATTGCATATTTAGACTAATATTCCACAATAAAGATCTGCTATGGAGTTGCCTTTTACCTACATGCACTAAAGTCAGGCTCAGCAGATAAACATTTCAAAAGCATCCTGGGGCAGTCTAGTGCCACAAACCTAACAACAAAACAACAATATGGAAGTTACTCTGGAACATTCGTACATTTTAGCAACAGGCAGCCAGGGACTCAACACACAGAATAAAAGCTAGCGGCTGCTGTGAGCTGCAGCACAAATACTATTGAGTTTCACAAAAGAGAGCTGACAATAAAATAGGTAGCCAATTTGAACCAAATATTTCAAAATTCCTTTATGTGTAACTACCTTTTTAACATGGCAGCACCTGTGGAAATTATTTCCTTTATTAGTACAAATGCAAATTTTATTTAAAAAAAAACATTGCGGTTCAGGTTATAATAGTGTACATACCATTTTTTCAAAGTTTACTAGATTGTCAATGAACGTCTTGTTCCCCTCATGAGTAAATGTCATATCTGCAAAGAAATAAAAGTCACATTCTAATCACTAACAGAAATATGTCACACTAAGAAAGCACAATAGCACCATTAGATTATGATGGAAGATTTGCATAACACTGCAGTTGAAAAAGCTGATAATAGTTCCTTTTATGTTAGGTGTTTAACTTTCTAAAGCACTTTACCTGAGATTAGTAAAATTTCCAAACCAAGCCTGTTTCACAATCAAATCTCCCAGATAGTGGATTCCTATTCCTGCAATAATCTTCCCCACCCTTTCAGAAAAGTCAGAACTGAGAGGAGACGATGACATAGTGGAAGGAAGGATGGATCATTCTTCCCAAAGACATCAATCTCATTAGGCTCTTGCTCATTTTCTTCCCCACACACCCATCACTTGTGTGGACTGTATATTTTCTTAGAATTACCTTTAATGAGCAAAGGCATAAAGGGGATAAGTGGAGGCTCCAGCTTGGCCACTGTCAGCCTGTAGGCCCTGTGGTTTCTTGAAGGATCCTTCAGAGAAACAAAAAGATGCCAGTTAATGATTAGTGATACATACCACTTCCTCACCCTCCTAACACACCCAGCCTTGTCATCCACCAGGTAATTTTGAATCAAATGGAGCCATAAAAGAAAGGTAGACTTATTGACTCAAGTTTTAAGACAGTTTCAAATATGACATGAAAATAATTTTACTTTTTGTTCCTTTTGTTTGTTTGTCTTGTTTGAAAGGGACATTTCCCTCCAGGAACCCAAAAGACTTTTTTTTTTAAAAAAAATTTATTTATTCATTTATACAAGAACTGGGGTACAGGCCAGATGCGTGGAAGGGAGGGTGAGAGGATTCACCAGAGACAGAGCGGGGATCAGAACAGGCAGACTGACAAAATACACTGCTGAGGGGAGCAGCGGGCGCCATGGGAGAGGTCTGCCGCGCCATGTGGGACCCTCCCTGGCAGGCTGGGATAGAACCGGTGCTGCAGAGACTGCAGACAGCTTTCACACTGCAGCACGGTGCTCAACTGCCTGCACCACCAGGGGAGGCCCCCCAAAATACCTTTTGAGAGCAACAACATAGCAGATAAAATATCCCTGATGAGGCAAGTCCCCTTTCCCCGAAGCCCCACCTCCTCTCTGTCTAACACAGTCAGTCTTGACTTGCCCTCTGGACACCTTCCCCTCCTGTCCTGTCAAGTCCCGCTCACTCCTTTTCTGTCTTTAATACCTCCCAGCCAATGGGGAAAAGCAATTTTGGCAAGCCAGGGAAAATGCAACTTCCAGCCCATAGCCAACCTGTGTTAGATGGAAAGGATCCTATTACACTGCTTTTCTTAGTTACACAAATTGACCTTATGTGGGACATAAGTCCTCTTTAAGTTAGTTCCTGAGGGTGCCATTCATTAGTCAGACATGCTTGTTTTAGCAGCACTAAAACGGGATCATAAACTTCTTAAAGTCATACAAGGACAGATAAAATTTCTGAAATGAGAACTTCAATTCAGCTAATCAGAAATTGGATTAATGCTGACAGTGAACAGAATAAAGAAGCCGCTGCCACTTACCATTAAACTTTCAAACTCCGCATAGAACTTCTTGAACTTGCTTGGCAGTTTCTGTTAATGAAATGGAAATGCCACATGTAGATGTCAGATTCAATATCTAGATATGTATCATGTGTTACCCTTTCTAGGGGAAATGTATTTCTTTTGGCTCTTAATCAAACATCTCTGAGACAGACCAGGCTGTCATCTCTTTTGTCATTTGAAGAAAATCTTTTGGAATATAGAGAACATGTCTTTTTAAAGACTTAACCTAGTTGAACCAAAAGTAACTACAGAGGCTTTGGTCTTACTGTTTTTATAAAAGTTTTCTGAAATGGATTATTCATGGAGTGGACTGCATTTCTGGATTACAAGTGGATTGGAAGTAATCCCTCTCATCTCTTTAACCTCTCTGATGTCCACAATTAGAAATTTAGACCAAAGAAGGTAGTCTTTGCTTTTCTACATGAGTATTTCTCTCATGTGATCTCTTTGCCCTGCTATATTTCACAAATTGAAATATAGTAATTTAGTATTTTCTCATGATTATATTTTGATTCAGCCCCACTAACTGTACCCATATATTGACATGGGTAGGTCAATACTAAAACATCTTTTGATCACTTTGCATAGGTCCTGAGCTTTTAGTAAAGCTGAACTTTTCTCTCCTGGCAGAGCCACACTGAGACAGAGCAGTGTGATGTGTTTCCACGCAGAGATTAGAAGCACTGACTTAGTGCAGGACCCCAGACACTCCCAGCTAAGCCCTGCTTCACATGGGAATTCAGAATAATGGCTTCACCAATGAGGTGTTTCTGATTCACAGAAAAGTTCTTCTCTTTTCTCACTCATATCTGGATCAGTTTATCATATTGCTATTTACACATCTGTAAAAAATCTTTTATTTCTAGGAACTAGTCTCATAATGTCCTTCCAAATAATTTCCTAGTACTTATTTTCATGTTAGGTTTTAGGGAAACCTGATATCCTTACTTAGAAGGAATGTTTAGAGGCATGAAAGCTGGCAAGAGCATCAAGGACCTCATCCCAGAGGGAGTATCTGTATCAGCATGTTTGGTGATACCATTTCATGAACACAGACCACTACTGAAAGTAGGAATGAATTATATTTAGTTAGGTCTAGGTCTCTTTTTTTTTCTTTACTGGATTTAGGGTCCAAGGCAGGAGGGCATATTAATAAAAATTTTAATGGGTCTTAATACTATTATCCATCCACACCCCACTTTTATGGCAGTGGTTCTTAACTGAGGGTCATCTCACACACACACTCCCCACCCCAAGGGAATATTCTGCAATGCCTGCAGACATTTTGGCTGTCACAGCCAGGGTGGGATGAAATGGATGTCGTGAAAAGTGGATAGAGGCCAGGGCTGCTGCCTAGCATCCTGTCTTGTACAGGACAGTAAACCACATCCAAGTGTTATCCTGCCCCAAATATCAATATTGCCTAGCCCAGAAACTATGCTCCAGGCTATGACTCCCATTGGCTTGATCTCAGGTTAGACTTCCTCTCTACATTGAACATTTCCTTTTGTCCTGTGCTTTAACTATATTTTGTTTGGTTCCTTGCCAGTTTCATGGAGTCAGGCTCCGTTCCTCTCCCTGCACGAGCAGCCACCCTGGCCCTCAGTGGAGCTGTGTGCAAGGCCCTTGGGGGGCTGATGGCAAAAGGAAGCAGAGAAACCAAAATCAAAAATGTTTATGAATGAAAATTATTCCTACAGGGCAGTAAAATTACATTTCACCTTAAAAAATAAAAATTTATAAATGACAAAAGGTTAATCTGCTCTTTTTAGCAACATAGAAGGGTGAAAATAGAAGCTCACAGAGGATGTACTCCAATTCCCAGTGAAATTGAAGGGCTGGATCATTAACTCTCTCTTTACTGCCTGCATCCCAAGTAGCTGACTCATTTTCTCTCTTGATGAGGAAAGAGGACTCCGGCAGTGCTTCCCATGTGCCACAGCCTTCCTGTCTGGCTGCTGTTATGGGGTCTCTACACCTGGACAAAAATGAGGCTTGGAACCTTCTTTGATTTTCCCAACCAATTCATTTGGGCTGGGAGCAGGGTGATGAGAAGCTATCTGGGAAAAGGTTGGGGAGAACAGACTACAGGAGAGGGAGCCCTAGGTTTTCTAGGTCTCTGGAGCCTAGGGCTATAAGAGTCTAGGGCTTTTAAAGTGTCTAGGGCTATAAGACAGGAGTCTGCTCTGCAGTTTCACTGTTCAGATTCACTGGCTGCACTAACTCCAGGCTTTTACTAGTTGCAAGATGATACAACTGCATGGCATGCAGGCCTCACCAGTTCCCTCATTCCTATATTCAGGGGATGAGCTGCTCTGTGCTACATCTGCCTGGAATTTTAAGAGAAATCCAAGACAGAAGGACTTGTGAGGACCTGCCCTATAAACAATGGAAACATTTAGGAGGGACAGAGAAAGAAACCAGTTTCAAGAGGGAAGTAAGGAAGGAAAATGTTTCAAGAAGACAGAGATGCAAACAGCTGTCTTTAAGGACCATTGCTAATTAAGTCTGTTGTTAACTTCTCCTGCCTTCTTTTTGTGTTCCACTTACACATACATTTTTATTTTTAGCAAGAGTCTATTTTTGTGTGCATGTTCTATTAGAGATTAGTATTTTTTTCGACGATATACCACACGTGAAAGGGTTAGGCACATTTTTGATTACTTAGCTAATGAAGAAAGAAGATGCTTTCTAGCACAAATAACCAAACACCAACAAACCACTAATGATATTTACTACAGAAGTTCATAACACACCTGCATAACTTTGGCCCCAAGCTGAATATGAGCCAACTGTTGTTCCTCTATTCACAGAGAGGTCTGCCAGGCAGTTGAGAGATACTTAGCACTCAGCTGGGCCAAACAGTTGGCCTTCTGGCTAATTCTCTGAGAAGCAAAATGACTTCTTGGATAAAAATGGATCTTCTGTTCTCTCTTAATTATAGATTAGGTTTATTGAAAAAGCAGTAAGCAGACATTCCAAAGAACAATAGAATCTGAGAGCAAAAGCTTTGAAGTCATCCAAGCAATGCTGCTGTTTCCTGATGTACCTAGGAAATGCCTTATTATTATTTACATTGTATACCACTAGATGAGCCCCCTTCACACCTCCTGCCCCCCATACACAAAAGGACAGTATCTTTTAAAATTCACACTCAGAAGCAACTAGAAAAAAGGTGGCAGGTCACCTCCGTCAAAGTGCCCCACCTTTTCCATTGTTATATGAATGTGAGTGATATTTCTATTAAAAAGCCCACTGGTGAGCCTATGTTTTTATTCTTCAGGCAAAAGTCACAGCTGGATCTCAGCTGAAGCTTACCTCCCACGTTAGTGCCAAGCGGCTCACAGCGACATTACTTAGTCCCATGACGATGGCAAAAAAAGAATTCAGATTTTTGTACTCCTTACAGCTGAAACACAAGAGGCACATGTTTGAGTAAAAGGCTACTTTTGAGTAAGATTTAAAAAATTAGAGTTCTACTTTCTGATCGTCATTAATATTCACCTGGACTCCTTTATGAGAATAGGCAATGACAGATTTAATGCACTGTGTAAGTTCCACATGGGTGACCATGTTCTGCAGTTGATTTCTTACTGCAGTTTTAGAAAGGTGATGTTTTTGGTCATTGGGGTTCAGGTTTTGAGAAGGAACGTAAAGACACCTACCCTGGGCTTGTTAGGACAAGCCCAGAGCTTGCAAAAAAGACTTGTAGGACCTGGAGGGAAACATTTCTTGGAGTGGGAAAGGAGAAATATCCTTGATGACTTCCAGACCGGGTAGACACTGCCTCTGGCAGCTTGAGAAGGAACTAAGGAACTCCCTCTGTGGCAGCCTCCGGAGCTTCCACAAGCACCCAAAGGCCTTTCATTTGTTGAAAAATATCAGTTTACAAGTCATGATCCAAATGGACTCAAGGAGTTTTAAGGTTGCAAAATAACCTAAACAATTGACCAAAGAAGAGCTTTATTTTCTCTGTGTCTTCCTGATGTTGATGAGCTGATGATTTCGTATTTGTACGGATGCTATTACTAGTGTTTATGAAAATCTATTTGGAAATAAGACATGTACCAAGACAAAAAATTCTTATTAGAACAGCGATGTTTAGCCCAGATATTTGGTTTAATTAAAAAACAAAAAGAACCCTCCACTTCTTTATACCAGCTTCTTTAAAAGAGAAAGAAGAACTCATTGCAATAAGCCCCCAAATCAATATGGTTGCTGACTACATAATAATTAAATGCTGCTTGGATTAACATTTTTGTAAAAGGCTAATTAAATTGCTGCATTTGTTGCCTGCGTTCTCTTTACAGAGGTAGCAATGAATGATTCTTAGAGTGTCTGTATGGAAAGCAGACAATAGTTTTCAGGGAAGTTACAGTGTCTGATCCTACTGGTGAGAAACCAGTGAGGTCTTTCCTGAGCTGAGGCAGTGGCTGAAAGGTAAGAGGCTGAAAGCATGTTCAAGTAACCACAGGGCTGACACAGTGAATGTGATCATGCTTATGTGTTTGCCTTTGTCCTGTTATGTGATCTTGAAAAAAACGTGCAGGATTGAAGACCTGTCTTTCTGGTCACTGTTACAAGCTGACTTTATCACCCTTGGTAAGACAAGAAGTGCCTCTATGTCTGGGTCTCCTCGTCTATAAATGTGGGTGGTCATATTTGGACCTCAACTTCACAAAATTCTGGGCAGGTAAAGAGCTTAATTAGAATATGTCAAAGTCATATATATATATATATTAAAAAAAAATACCATGTACAACACACTATTGCCACTAGTTTAGACCTCGTTCTTGTAGACCTTATTTTATGAAAGCCTGCAATCCTTTCCAGACAGCCTGTGCAAGCAGCACAGCTTAATAACAGTTAAAGAATGTAAACTGGTTTATACCAAAGGCCAAATCCATCCATTCATTCACATAATCAGAAGTAAGAGAGATAAGAAAGGCAAAAACATTTTTGAAAAATTGATGAGTTTTTGAAAGCCTCTCCTGTGGTGCCTCTGTGAACTCACAGGATCAGGTCCCAAAAGGTTTTCTGGGCTCCCACATTTATGTGCAGAATGACATTCTTGTTGCACTTACGCTCAGGGAAGGTGAAGATAGAGTGTGTTCCTTATAATGGGAAAGCACATATTGTCACAGTTTCCATAATTATCTCCTTGCAAACATGTGAAAGCATTTGTCCCTTGTAACAAGGCTGCTTAGTCTCCTAGGGAAAGTGGGTACACTCTGAACCAGAAATTCATATGCAACATTTTAACCAAATCTTTCTTCCAAAAGGCAGCTTTTCCCAATTAAGAGATACCAGCATTTGAATCCAAGGGATTTGGATATACTGTTAAACCCTCAAATTTTTGGCAAAATAATTCAAGGCATTTGGCAGGCTTCTCTGTATAAAATGTCAAGCAGCATTTACTTCTTTGTTTAGCTCTAGAAATCAGACTCTGTATGGGATATAAACTATTTGGTACAAGAAAATTGCTTAGCTGGGGTCACTTGTGCTCCCCACCTTCCTGTGCTACAGCTCCCCGCATTTAGAAAGGAAAGAAGTCTCCCAGCCATGAGCCGCATTTAGCATTTTATTTTTAGCACTGTGGTGATACCAAAAACATGGAAGTAAACAGGAGGTTGTCAGGCATATCTAAATAGCAGAAGAAGATTAAATTCATGTCAGGGTGAAATCTAACTGGCCCCTGTAGTAAATAAATTGTTTCTCATAAAGTGCTGTTAAATAGAATATTTATAAGATGCTTGCTTTTTCTGATGTTTATGGAGATGATTTTCATATACCAGGTTAGCTCGCCTTTATGCATTTCACCGATTTTATTCTGGAGGCGTCGAGCGTGCTCTCGTACTGGCGTGTTCCCACTGCCCTCTACTGGCGGGAATGTGTTATATGCGGGCCATCAATGTGCCTTTTAAACAACTTTCTGCACCAGAACTTTACCGAAGGACTCTTTCAACTGAAGGAGCCACAAAGTCTGCATAGTTCAGAGCAAAAAGAGGTCACAATTTTGACTCTAGCTTCAGTGCTGTAAGATGTGAATTTATATAGTGATGTCAAAAGCTAGGCAAAATCCATCTTTTACCAGAGTTTGGTTATTCTTAAGCCCTGTGTTTGGGTCTAGTACGCAAAGAGATTTTATATCTTGCTTTTCTTTTTAAGGTGCAGTTTAAGGGAACAAATGAAATTGCAGCTGAAACATTTTTCTCTTTGCAAGTTAATGATACTTACTGGGCTGCTATCTTAATAAATTTTTTTAAGAGTTGAACACGCTTGCTGAGCTGGGAACAAAGGCAAATCTCAGTGACAACCCAAAACTGAATTTCATTAAATCTCCTCAGGAACAAATCCAAGTTTGCTGTGGTCTTTTTAAAATTATGCCTTCCAAATGTGTGATAGATTAGCTCCAGCTAGAAAAGAAAGGAAAACAAATTCACTTCTTTGTTTTTAAATCAAAACATCAGCTACACTTCTCTATTTGTCAAGAAAAATGGACAACAGTAAGCAAACGTGGCTCTAATCACTGACCACAATTCAAACTGTGCTACATTTCAAGGGGCTTCGATGAGGTTTGTTAACACAAGCGAGGTGTAGTTGCTGTCCTTGACTCAGGAAGACGTGGTTTATTGTAAATCATGATGTTTTTCCTTTAAAAATCAAAGGTTTTATACTAGATTTTATTAATAAATTCAGCATTTAAAAAAATCATCATGTGGCTTCCACATTGCAGCACATATTAACATTTACAGTTGAGCAAGGCAGCAGGCTTCATCCAGAGCTGCCAGCATACTGACGAATGCCCCTAATCCAGCACCTTACCTCATGCACACAGTTGAAGAGTTCCCAGTCATAAATCGTCATCTGGTATGCTAAATCTTTGGAGCTCATCAGTTCAAAAGTTCCCACTGTTCCTACAGTTGGGCCTTCCTGTTCTGGCAAGGGAGTCTATGAATAATAATGCAAAAATATATAAAAATCTCAGAACAGACAAGTACACGGATGCTTCAAGGGGAAAGGATTTTGGTAATGCCTTCAGGAATATCTTGAAACTTTGATTTTTCTATCCAGTAGAGAAAAATGTGTTTGCTCTTGCTTCAGTGACATCTTTGTAGCCTTTACTGTCACTATCATCAATTTCATTGAGTGAAAAATGTGGACTCTGCCAAACAAGATTCAGTGTGATCTGTGGGGATTCTCTTCTGCTTGGGCCCAGGAGCTCCCTGGAGTCAATCCTTTTTCTCTAGTAAAGCTGTAAGAAGCTGTTGGAGATGGCTTTCTTCTATTTCCCACAGAAAATGCCCCATAGCAGGTAATGGCATGGCAGTTGGGGACAGTTAGCCACAGTGCTGCTGTCTACTGCAGGGACAGGGGACCACGGCTAGGTGGCTGCATCTCATTTCTTTTTTCTTTTTTCTTTTTTTTAAGATTTATTTATTTATGCATGCAAGAACTGGGGTCCAGGCCAGATGTGTGGTGGGTGAGAGGATTCACCAGAGACAGAGTGGGGAACAGAACAGGCAGACTGACTGAAACGCAATGCTAAGGGGACCAGCGGGTGAGACAGAGGTCTGCTGCACCATGTAGGTTGCTCCCTGGCCAGCCAGGGATCAAACTCGTGCTGTGGAGGCTGCGGATTGCTTCATAGTGCTGTGTTTAACCTCTTGCGCCACCAGGGAGGCCCTGCATCTCATTTCTTACACACTCTGCTGGGGTTACTGTGGAACAGGCTTTGTATACTGAGCATACACCTGATGTCTGAATCCGCCACTCTCTTGGATATGCTGAGTTAAGAATAATCTTCACATGGTCCCGGTGTTTTGAATTAGGCATTAGAAATACTGCTACTTTCTGGAAGACCCTGGATCAAAACTTTCTAACTTGTTATCTCATTTTTTCTTCTATGAGACATGTTCTAAAGTGCTTTTTCCTTAGTTAAGATACATGATTTGTATATATAGAAAACCATGCATAATTTAATACCTACAACACAATATTAAATGCATCACATTACAAAAGTCACATGACTTAAAAGAGAATTTCTCCCATGTGATGTGATCTATATTTGGATATTCAACATTTAGGTTGGAAGTATTAATATACAAGTTCTATCATGATCACCCATAACCGTGACATTTTCTAAATGCCCTCTGCATACCTGACTCTAAAGAAATCACACATTTGGGATTCCCTGCATTTGGAAGTTTGTAGCCTAAAAGAGGAGTCCTGACCAGCCAGCATGTCAGTGAACATCAACCAAGTCAGCTGCTGGCCTTCACCTGCACGCAGACAGGTGAGAGCAGCATCACCACACACACCTGTTTCTCATACAGATGAACAGGTGGGGCACATTCATGTGCTTCCTGAGAATTACTGGGCATCTGGAATTAATGTGTAGTTGAATGAATGTGAGGATCACAGAGAAAGAAGCTAGGCTTTGATAGATGAAGTAGGCAAAGTTGATTGAGTAAAAACCCTGAGATTTTCCCTGAGCATCTAGGATGGTCTGTTATTGGATGAAGAAAGGCAAGAAAGGCATGGAGGTGGGGAAGTTATCATAGACTTGCTTGGTAGGAACAGAGAGATCAGGGGAACCAAATGGACAGTTTGAACCACTTTTAGAAAGTCTTTGCGTATTAGAGGAGTTTTGCAATAGATCTGGTAAATGCCAGCTTCTAGAGAGCAAGAGACACTAAATGTAAACATGATCCTAACTACACAGACTTGGATTGCTTTCCCTAATCTCTTGAATGGCTGTTTCTAGCTCTGGTAAGATGCAGTGATAGTCCCAGTAGCTAGACTTGCTAAGAGAACAGGATGGGAATAATAATAATTTACATGCAGCATGGAAGCAGTGCCTGGCACAGAGGAGGTCCCCATTCCCCCAACCCCAGTCCCAAATTAGTTCTCTTCCCAGATGCACTGATGCAATACCAATGTGCAGGAAAGTGGGATCAGGTCAACACCCTGGTATAGGAGCTAAAAACCACCTCCTGATTCCCTCTACGCAGGACACAGAAAGCAGGGCAGAAAAACAAATATTACAAAGTTTTGAAACTTAGGGAACCAACTTGCAGTTGATGAGCAGGCAGCCATGGAAGCCAATAAAAAGAATGGTTTCAGGCAGGGTAGGTCTTAGGTAGAAGAGGTGGAGAAGCTTTTCAACACTGGCTCCGAGGACTCACTCTCTGGTACAGACTGGCTGTCTGCAGTCTTCTGTCCCGCAGCTGCTATCGTGGACACAGTCCCTCTGCTCCCCCCAATTCTTTCCTTTGCCCCCTATTCTATTCTTCGGGTTTGCTCTTTCCTTAATCTACCTAGTTCCCTATCTCCTTTCCTTGAGACTGCATGACTTTTCATAGAAGGAATAAATTAACCCAGCAACTATAGGGAAGATGCCAATATTCAGAAATAAAGAAAATTCTTATAGTCCTGGTTGTTGGTCTAATATTCCTGCATCCCTTCAGAGAGAATAACAAAAAGTTCTGTGGAATCTCTGCTTTTGATTTTAAGTGGGAGGGCTTGTCAAGCCTCCTTCCTCCTCGGCAATGGCAGGCTAACCCCTTCCTCCAGGAGATGCTGAAGAGGCCATCAGAGCAGTGAGGTGCTCCTCCACCTCAAGCGCGGGATTTATACACTGAACTTGGGTCCTAGAGGAGGCACCTCCTTGGGCCATTTTCTTAGAGATTTGTCTGTGGGAATTTCCTGTAGAAGAAGCACAGCAGAGCTCCTGTGGGGTCTACAAGACAAATCTAAAGACTGTCTTCCAGAGACACAACCCCCATAGTCTCTCTCTGCTCTTCCTGAGAGTTAGTTTCTTTATAAGCCTGGATAGTGATGATTAGGGGACTAGAGTTGTTACTCCCCCATTTTTCCAGGTGAGATAACTAAGACATAAAACGGATATGCTGATATTCAAGGGCAAAGAGCTGGCTAAAGTCAACTGCTCCCCTTGTACCCCTCTTTCCTTGACTCCCATGCCTCTGTGCCCAGCTCTGCAGTGGCATTTGCCATTTTACTCTGGAGTCTGTTATTGCACCATGACTTCCTTGAGGCAGGAGGACCATGATGGATTTATATTCAAGATCATACCAGAGGCAGAACCAGGAATGCAGTGAAAGGATTAAGAGTAGAACCAAATTACAGTCAATGAGATCTTAGTGTAACTTGCTATGTACTAACACTGATGCTTAAATAAGATGTCAAGAGAGTGAAACTCCAGAATGGGAGGCCATACCCAATCAGGATAAAACGCTGACCCTTTAATCATTTTAGGCAACACAATTCAGTGCTACAATCTGCTCAGTTCCAGGTTGTTCTCATCTTCCAATTTGATGGTAATTGTCATAAGGACAGAGGCTCCAAGACACCAGTCTCCTGGTAGATAGAAGCGAGCTCAGCACAAGCACACAGCAGACACTTCCTAAGTATGTGTTGAAGGATCAAAGGGTTTGGCCACCATCCTACACTGCAGTCATCCCGCGCCCCACTCCTCCTAGGACAGTACTCAAAGAAATCTTTAGAAAGCTGGGAAAGGAGCTCTATTCTATCATTTTGTGAGATTAGATTGTGAGAGGTAAGATTCAACCACACCTAAGTATGAGGACATAACTTGCAGCCCAGAGAATTGCCAGGCACAAAGTAAATTCCTTTCAATCCCTTGGGTCTTAAAATGGAAGACTACAGAGGATTAAGAACTTGTCAGGCTGCGGGTGATGTATAAATAAACAGGCTTAAAAGTCAGCATCTGCCCCACAGGGAGCTCGAGACAGCTGCGGTCTTCATCCGCGTATACCACGTCTCACTCACTGCAGCCAAGAACCTGCTGGCTTGCGTGGCAACGCATCACCTGCACCTCCAACTACACCGCTTCTGGTGGCTTTTTCTCCCAGAAGAGGGCAGCACGACTCATTTATGACTTCTCCCCCAAGCCCTCCTTGTTGGGAAATATTTACTTCTCAGAAAGTAGGGAGTACAGATGACTAAATATATATATATAAAGGACTGTGAGCAGACCCAGATCTCATAGCTCTGGCGGTAGAGGAAAGGCCAAGTCCTCACAGGCCGAGATGGACAAGGGATGAGTAGCAGAATTAATGCCACCTTTGATAAGATCCACTCCAAGTGAGTTCAAAATACTATAAAAGGTCATTTAACTGTACTGGACTGCACCAAATGTCTCTCCCCAAGCAAGAAAATTGGAATCGTAATGATACTAAAGCAACCTCTAAAAGTCTAAGGAAGGGAATCTTGATTTACTGAAAATATCTGATTTGATTTACTGATAACGTCTGAACTGGAATGTGTTTGGGCATCATTTATGAAGTGAAACTCTTCCCCCAGAATGCGATGCAGTCTCCCTCTGGTTCTTGTGTTGTATTTTTAGTGCAGTGTATCAAAAAATAGAATAAGTTATTTCTCTGTCCTCTCAACCAGCCTACAGGTTTCATGCAAATAGCAATTACCTACCACCTGAATCAAAGAGAGTGGGCTACTCATTTAGTGTGGCCAATTAGTCCTTATTCACAGAGAGCTCTTTGGGCTGGAACAAGTGTTTTGGAGACTTAGGAGAATGCTAGCTTCTACTATTTCTTACACAAGTTGGAGAGGGCACTGTTATACAATAGCATTTTCCTTAGACTGGAGAGTCTGCCTTAGACAGCCATAGTGTATCACTACAGCCCTCTACAGAGGATGACACATCTCAATATCTGGTCTTAAAAAAATTATTTCCATCTTCGTCTAAGTATTCAGATCTTTAATATTAATATTTAATTGGGGACATTTCAAGAAGATGAATTACTATAGAGTTCAAAAAGCTAAATTATGCCCTATGGCTAATTTCCACAAAAGAAAAGCTAAAGCTCAGAGCATCTCAAATGAACACCTGAGGCTTACCTAATAGACTGAAGAAAAAGAAAAAGCCAAGGAGTACTCAAGATTTTTTAGAAACTGTGTTCAACGTGACTGCAAAATTAAGCTCCAGACAAGTTTTTCTGATTGCAGACGCTGCTGTGAGGAGGCCACCCACACCTACCAGTGAATCGAATTGCTCTCGCGGGCAAGCAAACAGGCGTCCGTTAATGGTGAGCGTCGTAAATACTGAAACATCATTAGGTTTGAGCACCACCTTTTCTGTGAACATAAAAAGCATGAGATTGCCTATTAAATGCATCTGAGATTTGCTGCACTGCCCTAATCACACCAACAAATTGCTAGCTCGATGAATTACTAGAACACGCAGAGCGGCTGAATAAAACACAGTACTGAAGGGACCCTCATAATAAAAAAGACAGCATTCAGGCAGGCACCCAACTCAGGATGCCATCAGAAATGACCACAAAGCAGAAGAGGAGATACCCGAGGGTCAATTCAGCCAGTTCTGCACAGCGACTGTAACTATACACAAAATCCATACTAAGCTATTTACAGTAAGTTATGTTTCCAGATGGTACTGGAGATGGAAGCATCACTTTTAGAAAACTTAGGGGGGTCTCTGAGATCCCACATGACTTTAGATGCAAAAGTTATTATTTTCACGATTCCCTAATTTGAAGGGTATTGGCATTACTTAGATTAAGTCTCCTTTATTTAAATATTCATTTAGTCAATCCATTTTTATTTAGCACATACTATGTGCTGGACACTGCTCTGAGCCCTAAAGATACATAAGGGAACAATAAAGAAAAAAATCCATTCTAAATAAAAGCTATGTCACAGTGGGGGACAGAGAGAGTAAACAAGATAAATACATCAGAGAATGAGAAGTGATGAGGAAAAAAACTACAGCAGGAAAGGAGGCTGGGAAATATGTTTATAAGGCAGGGGATACAACTTTAGAAAGTCAAGGAGCAGGAAGTGGGAGACATTGAGTGTTTGTAAAGACATGAAGGAAGCAAGAGAGAGACCCAGAGTAGTTATAGGAAGAAAGTGACAGAGGAGTCAGTGTGGGCAGATTCCCCGCTCTTGTGTGACTGGGACAGAAATGGAAGGGGACGTCCCAGGAATCTAACATGTATTTAAAAGTCCTATAGGTTAGAACTGAGGCATACAGCAAGGAAGGGGGAGGGAAGGGTCAAAACAGGGAAGGGAAGAGCACAAGGGGCTGTAGTGATGGCTCATGTGTGCTGTGGTGGTGGGAGAACTACAGGGACTACACCAGAGTAGAGAAATCAAATACTGTCCAAAAATGAACAAAGAAGCAAGAAAGTAAATAAATTTAATAAAAAAATAATAAAAAGTTCTGTGGGTTAAGGGGGTGAACTTTATGGTGCTGAATGAAAATGGGACTGTCACTGGTGATCATAATGTGGTAAATACAGATGATAACATACAAAGGCATATACCTGGGACAAAAAAAAAAAAAAAAGAAACAAAACAAGTGAACAAACAAACCAAAACCAAACTCTTAGATTATGAGGGAAAAAATGGAGGCTGTGGGTGGGCAAATCCAGTAAGGGAACTAAATGTATGCTAGATGGAAACTAGACTTTTGATGGGAATCATGATGTAGCATTTACAGACAAAGAATTATAATACCATACACCTTAAGCCTATGCAATATTATAAGCCAATGTAACTTCAATAAAAATTTAAAGAGGGCCTCCCCTGGTGGCGCAGAGGTTGAGCGCTGGGCTGCGAGGCTGCAGCGCCGGTTCATTCCCCAGCCGCCGGCAAGTGTCACACACACACACACACACACACACACACACACACACACACAAAAAAAAAAAAAAGGAAAATAAAGTCCTACATCTGTGGAACCATGTATCTTCAATATGGCAGCCATGGCCCTCCTGACCCTGAAGATTCCCTCAAGTGGCTAGCAAACACCTCTCCTTGCCCCAGGCTCTTGCTACATGCAGATCCTTCCCCCCAGACTCTTGGCAGCATAATAGTAACTTTTTTTTTTTTTTTTTTTGCTGTCTACTTCCTCATAGGCCTGGGAGCAACTTAGGGACATGACGGTGTCCAATTTATCCTCTCCTGACGCAGCTATGCATTTACCAGTAAATATATGATGAATGAATAAATGACCTTTCAGAAAAACATAGAGGAATCAAGCACTCCCACGGAGGGGAGGAGAGTAGTCTTCATTTCATTCAGTGAACTGGGTTCCTGCCCTCTTACACTTTCTGGGTAAGGAAAGCACCATCACCAGCCAGAAACAGCTAGTGTATGGCCACCTCCAACTTCAAACTTGTGGAGACTTATGGCCTTTAGCTAGTCAAGCTAGATGCCTTCTTAGGATCCATGTTTCTCAGGGTTCCAAAGTGTTAAGCTTTTTCTTTTTAGGGTTTATATGAAAGAACTCCAGTTGACATCCACTCCAGAATCCTTGTTCTGGCTGCCTCACATAGACCACTTATCTATTTCTGCTGTAGAGTAGGTGCCCACAAGACAGGGGATATTAGACACTTGCCCAGCCAACTTCTAATCACATTATTTATGTTTTTTTGTGGAAGCACATACAGCACTGATTTGTCTCTTTGGATAAGCTTGGAAGGGTCATCCTAACTCCTGATGGGGTTTCTGTTTGGACAGGAGATTCCATTTTGCAGAAGCCCAAAGTGCTAAGGAAGGTTGTTACCTCCTCCGGAACTCATCTTGACAATGATCAGGCCTTCACTGGAGCCCAGCTTGTCGGCAACAGCACTGATGACTTCTTTCACGGAGGCGGCCACTGGCACACGAATGGTCGTGTAGGTGTGGTCCATGCAATAGACCTTAAACAGAACTATTGGGAAGGCAGTAACAATGTGCTAAATTAGGCTGGGGGTGTTCTTAAGAAAACCATAAGCTATGCTGTTTAGACATCCTCCAAAATTTGCACCATCTTGTCATTCATCTATTGTATTTGTTTGTACACATTTGTGCCTTTGCTTGTACCCCTTCTAAAACTGCTTACCTGAGCACTGGTCTAAGACTAGGTGCACACGTGGCAACACTCCCAATTAAGAAAACAACAGATATTTATGAAAACCATACAAAAAGATCACGGCAAAAAATGAGACATAGATTTAGACCAATTTCCCAAGTCTGCACTTGTCTCTGAACCTTTCTTTTTCCCAACACAGGAAGTGCCACATTGCAGACTGAAGACTAGATCACGCTGCCCTTGCGGTGTTAACATCTCCGTAAATGGGAACACTTCCGCCTGGGGCTGTGAACATATGCTGACATTCCTGCTCTCTTCATTGCTTTGCGGGGCCAGGTCACATAGCTCAGACAGCACTCAGCCCAGCGGACCCATATATGGCACCCACAGGCTCACCTGTACTCACAAATCCTAGAAGCAATTCCTGTGACTGCAATTCTTGGGTTTAGAGGCACTCCAAAATGACAAGATTCATTTGTGGTTTTAAATGAAGATTTTACCCTTGTTATTAATTTTATTTTTGGCTGTGGTTCTTTGGAGAAATCTTAAACAACCCAGAGTTCACAGCCAGCATCTGCATCTCCCTGGTGGCTGCTGCCGAGGCTGTGCTCAGTGTCAGAGCCTGTCCCTGGGCAGAAGCCCTGCTCTGCACACGACCCTGGCCCCACCTCTGCAAGACACCTTCAGAGCACCAGCTGCCTTCTCATCAGCTCTTCCCAGAGGTGGGCAAGCTTGACAACTGGTCCCTGAGATAGTCTTTCTCGCCTTCTAGGAAAGGTGGTCACAGAGAGGCAGGATCCGGAAAGTGTGGACACGCACCTCAATTCCAGGCACAGAGTTCAAGAACATAAATAATTAGAATGCAAAAGGGCACTCCTACAAAAGGTATTCTGTGGGTCCAAGGTAATGATTTTGGGACAGGGGAAATTTTATTCTGATTTTAAATCGACACAGTCATGGGTTAGAAGAGAATTCTGACCTTCGTCAGAGCCACGGACAGGCTGGCGCTTCTGGGCTCGTTCATCGCCGGTATTAAACTGTTGCAGGAGAACTTTGTGCTGTGAATATAGAAAGAACAGCAACTGCCATCAGGGAAGAGTGACTGCTGCACATTAGCAACTCAGAGGAAACATACCCGAGAAGCAGTCAGAGTTGAGAAATGAAAACAACATATTTTGTATTTACCAAAACATCATTTTTATATATCTCAAGACAATATTTTGAGAGAAGTATCATTCTACAGGGCACAATTAGAGAATTCGAATCCATTGCCACTTACCTTCTTTTGTGGAGCCTTTGCATCTTCTGAACTATGAGAAATAGAGAAAGCACATTATATAATACCACTGGCACCTAATTTTAAATTGCTTCATTTGTATATAATTTTAATCTTATGTCAGACATGAAATCTCAGCACCCCTTCAGGAGGCAATATGAGCTCCTCATTGTAATGTTAATAGATCAAAGCTCAGAGGAGACAGCACAGTTCCCTAGTGGAACTGATATCAAAAGTCAGGACTTCTAGCTCTCAAGGTCTATGGAGCAGCATGGACTCTATCCAGTGTCTAATTAATGGCTCAAGGACCAACATGTGAAAACCCATGTTTTCACTGAGGGGATATAAATATTCACCATCAACAGCTTTGGCAGGAGAAAGTGAATTTTCCATGTATGTAATTCCCCTCAAATTTTTCAAATTGCCAGTGACCATTTTATTACTGGATTCACTGCCTTGAACCAAAGGGAGCCCAGTTTACTGAGTCAGAACAACCCAAAGAAAGGTCTTCTCCCACCTAATGCTCTCTTGGCAGAGAAGGTGGCTGAGCAGAGCCTCAGCACTTTTGTTCTTTGACTTCATTGTACCACCTTTGCCTACGGTCCTGTCTGCCCAGATCACAACACTGTGTAGGGGGCAAAATACTTTTGATTAGAGGCAGGCACTTACTTGATAAGAGCACACCCCAAAGCCAAGCCATTCCTTACATTTGTTTGACAATCTTCTCTAATTCGGGCAGTTGCTCCTTGAGCGCAGCGATCATCCTGGCATCATCTGATACAGACACATAAAACTCCTGTAATTGGCAAAGGTCACAGGCTTTTAACCAGAACCACAAAAGGTATACAATTCTGTAAAGAGCAATAAAGACCTGTCCCTATGTGATCTGCTTCACTAGCATCTCCAGACCATGGTTTCATGGGCAGGAGAAAGAAAGAAAAGAGAAAAACATTTCAATATGTCTAAATTTGAAATTGTAAATGAGAAGTTTTGGTAATCATAGTGATGGTTGTATAATGCTGTGAAAGCAACTGCTGTGGAATTGAACACTAAAAAATGGTTCACATGGCAATTTTTATGATAGATATCTTTTTATCACAATAAAAAATTTAAAAAATCTAAATGAATTATTTATATGAAAGGCAATGTAATGCCATTTTTTCAAATGTCTCATCTTGTAATTTGTATTTTTTAAGAGCACTTTCATCACCTCAATATTTTCTCAGGGGAATATTCATATTGATTTTGAATACTATTCTAGTATTTGTTATTGAATATTAACCACTGGTCACAGTAGAGGCAGGCATAGTCTTTGGCACAGTCCTGAATATAGGCTGAGTATGTGCCACAAACCCATGACCCATCTCTGATGCCCTAGACACTGTCCTGACCAGGCAGTAGCAGCTGTGCCCTGCTTTGTTCAGGTGCAGTGGCTACCACAGCCAAAGAGAGGCGTGGTGGTGCCAGCTATTCACTGTTTTAGTTCATCCATGTACCCATGGACGAGGCCATGAGTCAACTGATGACCCAAGCGACTATTATTCCTTTTAATTTTCAAAATACTTCATCCCACAGTCTTGAAGGACTATCCTAGTTCAACGTTCTTCCCAGCCTGAGAAGAGGTATGTTTCTTCTGGAAAATTCATTCTTGAACATACAGACTGATAAAAGTTTAAAATAGAATCAGCTTGCCTTTTGTCTGCACAGAAATAAGATCCTATTTAAGTTTTGCATAATACATTATCTGCTATATATTAATACGTATACATTATGTATTTTCATAGATATGTTTTAGAGGACTGAGTGTTCAAAGGTTAAATTTTGGGGTCAATACTGCAAAGCGGGACTGCAGCCATAGGAAGGAGAAGGGAAGTCCAGTTTCCAGCAGGGTTTATGATGTAAATCATGTCCCTTCAGAACTATCTAGTTCACAATGCTATCTATCTATCTATCTATCTATCTATCTATCTATCTATCTATCTATCTATCTATCTATCTATCTATCTATCTTCACACTGCTCAAAAAGACCTGTATTTGATCAAGGAATCCCATAATCCCATCTCTAGGAATGTAACCTAGGACAGATGTACAAAAATGTTCACTGCACTATTATTCTAGGGAGGTGAAAACTAGCAGTGATATAGATATCAAAAAATTGGGAACAAATAAATGCTGTTCATGGCATAAGCTGCTCAAAGGTCATTGGTGATCTTTGCTATAAAGACTATACTGACACGGAAAAAATCCTTACACAAAGTGAAGTGGAAAAAGCAGTCTGCAAAATAATGGGTACTATGTGGTTACAACTACAGAAAATACACAGAGAAAAAGGAGACCAAATGAAAATACCCTAAGTGCTACCAGTTATTGAGTTAGCTTGGCAGGATAAATAACATTTTTCTTTAATTTTCTTAAAGTACATTTCTGATGAATGAACATGTTAATAAAGTCTAGAGTTTGCAATTACTGTCTCTCCAGGAGAGCTGCCATGCCTCTAAGTAGCCCCTGGATCAGAGGACAAAGAAGAATTCTAGACAGAGATAACCCCTGCATACCTCCAGGAAAGCCATGGCCACGTCATCCTCTTGCAGGAGGTCTCCATACATTGCAGCCCACTGCAAAACCAGGCGGATGACTCGCCTCTTGTTGTTCAGGGCATAATCCATTTTCTCCTGTTCTGTACCTTGTGAAGGCTGTGCGTGGTAAGTGCCCAGGAGTCAAGGAATACATTTAGCCATTTTACACTCATTTCACTGTGCTACTTGCAAAGGCAGAGAGTGACAGATCCCAGCTTGAGAAAGTCAGCCTTCTGGACTAATGGAATTCCTCCCTTAGGCCTTCATGAAAACCTCTTCCCACATTATCTGGACCAAATGCATACCAATCCTTGTTCACACCTGCTGATTCTGAACTAATAGTTGCCCAAGGAATTAGATTCTCTTGACTGCCCTGGGACTTGTGTGATGACAAGGATTCTTGTGCCTAGCCCCAGTCCTCATTAGGCTCAATCACACTCCCTGCCTGTCTTCCACCTGGTAACCTTCATCTTGAGGGTTGGTTGTGCTTCCTGCTGCTGCTTGTCTCTCGGTATCGTGCTACCTCTTGTCGGTTCTCACAATTCTGCATGCATCTCTACAATCCTCTTCAACAGATACATTTCAGTCCATTCCATCTGAGTGAGTATTTCGTTCTGGTGGAACAGGGACTGATGGGAAGAGTGCAGGGGATTACAGGAGTGAGGCAGGAGTTATGTAAATGCACCCAGTGTTAGGAGGAGGAGAGGTTCCTGCTGAATCCCTCTTTTTATACTATACCTTCTTGTCTTGTCTTGAATCACAACTTAACTCATACTGGCTGTCAACATGTTAACCAAATTATATGTCCCTTGAGGCTTGAGATAATATATTATTTGTTCTGTATGCTGTACCATGTCTAGGACAGTGATTTTCAAGTAGAAAACTTATTTATTCATTAATATAACAAGTATTTAACTGAGTGTCTATCATAGGTGTCACAAAGTTCCCCTGTTCTTGGTATATATTCTCATGTGGATTATAGTAGGGAGAACATAGTATATGATCAAGAAGGATTTCAGATTAGACGCGCCATTCCCTTTTCAGTGATTTATAGTAGTTTACATTAAACATTTAAATATTTCATAAAACAATTTCCTCTTACAACTAATGCTTTGTCTTGTACATAGAGCTATGTTAAACCTATTTTGTTAAACCTATTTTGTCTTGATGAGCATATCACTCCCTTTCTATAAGTGAGCAAACTTGACAGTATACGGGCATAAATGACCAGAATGATCTAGTAGGAGTGTTGAGGTGGTTTTGAATCCAAGACTCCTAATTTCAGCTACTTCTCTTCCCCATCACACAACACCCCTTGTCTCATAATTGGATGCAAGGCTGGCCGTGCCCTCTCTTACCTGCAAGGCTTTAAAGGTTCGGTGGAAAGCTGCCTCATGGCACTTCTGCACTGAGAGCTGAGCCAGTAAAGGGCTTTTCTAAAGGGACTATAAATCATCATGATCAAGGTAAATGACAGAAACTTAAAGCCTTAAAGGTTTACTGCATGTAAATGGGTTGCAAAATGGCTTTCATAAATTGAGCACGGGATTCATAAAAAAGAAAATTGCTCAACCTGTATTGCCACAATTCTCTCTGAGCTTACAATAAAAAAAAAAAGGAAAGAAAGATCACTTTATGTGAAAATTATTTCTTTTCTGATTAACCCTTTGGTCTCTTGCTTGTAATGCACACATAACTCAGGTTTTCTTTTCAAAGAACTGCAATACTGGGCAGTAAATTTTATCACTGTTTTTAATGGCACCTAGAAACATGGTCAGGTACATGATGGGCTCCAAATGAGTAATTCCCGATTCACTCAAAAATATCAATATGTACTGACCAGGGGACGGGAGGAGGGAGAGAAGGACAGAGTGAGGTGTTCTTTCTGATTTGCATGAAGATGCAACTATTTGAAATATCAAGTGAATATAATCATAATTCCCAGGTTATCCTGATTTGGACTCAAGATAGTGATGCAAATGCTTGGGTGTTAAAGACAGAGATAGCAGCTGCACACCTGTGGCCAGGACAGCATAAGTAATCTAGATTATCCCTATGGGTCAGGACAAAGATTTCTTTTTTTTTTTTTAATATTTATTTATACAAGCACTGGGTACGGTCAGAAGCACGGGAGGGTGAGAGAATTCACCAGAGTCAGAGCGGAGAGCAGAGCAAGCAGACTGATGAAGTACACTGCTGAGGGAAGCAGCGGGCGGCAGGAGAGGTCTGCGCGCCATGTGGGACCCTCGCTCAGTGGCCAGGGATCGAACCGGCGCTGCAGAGGCTGGGGGCAGCTTCGCAACCCAGCGCTCAACCACTGCGCCACCGGGGAGGCCCTGGACAAAGATTTCTTTGGTCGTCGATCATGCTGGGAAAAGTCTGTCCTTTGTCTACAGTAAGAGAATACACAAGAACTGCCATGATAAAATTTAAAATGTGCTTAGCGCTTTATGGTTTACAATGTTACATTTAATGTATTCATGTGATCATATAATACTCTCTACAAATCTGAAGGGGAAAAACTGACAGATGAGGAAACTGAGCTTCAAAGAGAAGTGAGTTAGTGAGTAAATGACAGGGATTAAAAATCCACCCAGGGCTCTTCCCAGTATTACCACCTCTACCGCCCTAAACAATGGTTCTGGTAACTAGACATGAGTGCTAGCTTTCATGAGTTTATTAAGTATAATTGTAACTTGGAAGCAAAAATCCTAGTGGGAAAGAGATTTCTTTTTTCTTTTTTTGCTCAAATTCCAAGTTTTCTAGCACTGACTCGGCACGCTGAGTGCCTATGCCAGGGCCATGTCCCCTGCTCTTCAGTAGTAACTGCACAGCCTCCTGGGAGCTAGAATGAACTGAATCAGGAGGGACTCTGAAGAGGCTTTCTTCCTTTTTCTCATGGAAAGTATTTTTGTCTCTAGAAAAACAAAAGGAATCATTGATTTATTTCACAAAGTCTAGCCTTTCCCTTTATAGATGTTTATTTACTAAAATGGAGGTGGGTAGAACTTTTACAGCTGGATCCAGGCATGTGCTCAAGGATTCTGCCCCTCCAGAGCCAGCATACAATTCCCGAAAAGACGGACTTTATATGCAATTAGTTATACCTGAAATGGTTACAGATGAGGTACTGGGGCTTTTACTTATTCCTGTAACATTTTCCCCAGGCTTTTAGAAGGTTTAAGTGATCTTTATGTTATTTAACTCCTACAAAAAAGGTGATGAGAGGGAAAAGCTCTATCTCCTTCAGACAGCAGCCCAAGAATAAAGAATAACTAAGCAGGTCCCTTGTTTCAATATGATGTCCATAAAAGTAAAGTGAGACGAGTAATACTTCAATATGTTATGTTCATAGATTCAAATGTAAAAGAAGGTTGCAGAAACCATTACCTTCCCTGGCTAAAACAAGAATAATGCATGAGCCATCTGATGAAGAAAGTCCTAGGTAGAACAGCAGTCTAACTCTTCCCCAGGACAAATAATTTAGAAAGGATTATCAATGAGTACTATGCATATAAGATGCTTTTAATATCTAAAGAACACTTTTTGAAATATTAACTGGCTTAATGTCTATGTTAAGAACAGAGTAGTAGTAGAGAAAGTCAAATGATTTTATCAAATGATCAGGGAATGTTTGTATTAACAATTAAATAACTGATAACAAGACAGGTTCAGGAAAGAAGTAATACAATGCCTGAATCCCTGGGGAAAAGAGACACAGAAAGATAACAAAGTTCTGCAATCTCCTAAGTACTAGCTAAAAGTCTAAAAGAAAATTTAGAATTATTCACAAAATCATTATTTTAAATGCAGTTACGAAAAAGCTGTAATTGTCAAAGTGGCCAAAATCATCACTGACACAATGAGTTGATTCAGATGATTTACAAAATCATAGAATCTGTGAATTGCAAAAGCTGGTTGACTATAACTTCTTCAACTCCACCATTTTAAAGGTAAGGAAGTTATTAAAAAACTAAATTCACAAAATTAGAGATTTCATTGGCTTTACTGAGCAATTCATGAATCAGACAGTATCCTGTCTGCTGCAAAATGCTTACACAAAATGGGGGGGTAATTATAGACACAGAGAGGGTGGGACAATGTTATTAGCAAAAGAAAAGAATATTTCAGGTAAACCATCTTCCCTGAGGCAGGCAGGGGTGGGAGTAACTTGTCTAGTAGGTGATCTGGAAACTCCAGATCAACTGCATTAGCATTATACTTTTGGGAGAGTTTGAAACTGCAATGAGATTAGTTAGGTATTAAGTCTGGGAGGGGACCCAGCAGGAAGGACTGACTCTATTTTGGACCTGTTTTTTGTTTTTAACAAAACTGAGGTAAAATGAGGCTAACTTTTCCTAAGTATATTAATGGAATTGTTTGGACTAAAACTCAGGTCTTTCATCTCCTTCCTCAGTACTCTGTCTACACTGCTATGTTTTGTCTGATATTAATTTTCTTTATCCAATTTTAGTATATGTGCTGCCGAAGCGAGCACAATTTTCTTCATTCAAACATAAATTATATATCAGAACTAGATGAACTGCAAGTTGATTGAATAATAAGGAAATCCATCTGAGATGTAGAAATTGATTCCCAAAACTCCTCAAATAAAAAACAATGCATACACAGAAATCAAAGTTCATTGTGGCAACCTTGACAAATGCACAGTTAGCGAGGGGCAGAATTTCGCTGTCTAAACTGGATACTCTCTGCAATAGTTTCAATCAGTTCTCTCTTATCCAATATACCTGGAAAAGCAGCGGCTCACTACAAGCCAAACATTCTTATATTTACTGGTCATTGAAATAAATTGAAATTTCTCTGTTATAATAGTAGCATTTCTCACCATCTGGGAGCATTAAATCAGAAAACAGCAGGAACTATATCTTAAATTCATTATGAATCTCTACATCTTCTAGTCAAGGATTGGGCACAAGTAAACATAAAAAACCTCAAATGTTTGTTGATTGACTTGTTATCTTAAATAATTCAATCACACTGTTTGGAGTGCTATATATAATGCAATTTTCTAAAAAAAAAATCACAGTTGAAAGGACTTTAAAAAAAGCCCTTTCTCCAAATTACCTGAAATTCTATTTTGTCAAGCTGCCAAATACAGATCAGAGA